CAGCAGAAGGCTCTCCACGGAGCATTTGCAAAACATCGAGCGCTGGGATCTCCCACCACCATGCTCAAGTTCTGGAGGAGCAGGTCAGTGGTGGAGGCATAGTACTGAGAACTCATACTGGATCGAGTCCAGTCACTATCGATTGAGGAGCTTGGATGATCCGGTGCCCCGCCAGTGAGCGTCAGTCTTTGCCCATGTGAGGCGTCGAGGGCGCTCTGTTGGTGCTCAGTAACCGGTAATGTCCTGTGTTGTTGACATGGCCCGTTGTGGTGTTGCTGTTCGCCTGCAACTTGTCGTATCCCCATGTTGTGTGGTGCACTGCCATTGGGTGAGCGCTCGTTCTGAAAGTCCTGTGTGTTTGCTCCAACACTGGTCCTATCAGAGTGATACGTTTCCGCTTCTGAGCCTGAGGCAGCGCGGCAATCCCATTTGGTTTGTAGTGAGCCCCAAAACTGCTGTGTTTTGTGAAATGTCCCCTTCACAGGTGACAATGGTGGCTGAATTCTCTGTGGAGCCATCATGGGTTATGCACCTCGTGTGTGGTGGTGCAGTAAGATCCATGGGCTCTTCCTCAAAACTGGTGTCCATTTCGAACAGTGATCCCCTGTTTGACTCTTCAGTTCCATCACATGACCATGTGTCATCTTCCGGTAACGGAAAAGTCCACCCCGTCATCATGTCAGTGCTGTCCCTGTTACCCACAATGTCCTGGTGGTGGTGCAGCAATGCCATCTGTTTTCCTGCGCTTCGTGGGATCATCTGGGTCCAGGTCTGGCCGCTTGAGGAGGCCGTGCAGCTGGCTCTTCTGCTCTTCTGTGAGCGAGATGCCCAGACTGTGTACAAAGGATTCGACTGCCATGGGGATTTGTTCAGGTTCCCCTGTGCCTGTTGCCAGTTCAGCTGGTGCTGGAGTCTGGTTGAGGCCTTCATGTAATCTTGTGAGAGCTGTCCTTCAGCAAGTTTGCTCTGGAGGTCTTGCATGTCCGTGAGTAGGGAGGCATATTGAGCCTTGTGCAATGGGCGGATCTTCTGGTCCAAGCCTGCTCCTCAGCTTTGGTGGTTCGTTGGTCTGTTGTGATGAAAGCTGTTTTGCTGGCATTCACCCGGAGCCCTATGTGGTCGATTAAGATCTCTCCATGCTGCAATGGCTGTAGTTACCGCCCTGTCTGGGTCATTGTCTTCAAATTCATAGCCGATGTCGCCGACCCAGCCATTGACATTGATCTGCGGGAACTTGGCAACAAAGGGTTGTAGCGCTGGTGCGAGATAGGCCTTAGCCAGCAAGGGAGCTTGTGGACACCCTGCAGCAACCCCTTTCTGGGCGAAGAAGAACTCTGAAAGCTCAGCCTCCGCCTGTATTGCCTTTGGTCCTGTGTACAGTTGGAGAGCGAACCACAGTGGTAACGCTGGATATTGGAGCTCTTGTGCAACAACGGCCAAGGTCTGGAGGTCGATGCAATCGTAGAAAGTGCTCATGTCCAGAAGCACTGTGATCCCGTGCTTTGCCCTGGCCTTGTTGACCTCCTGTCTGAGTAGCCTGGCCAGCGCGACGTGGAGGACATGAGCTCCAGGTCTTGCACGGTCGTAGCTCATGCTGAAGGGCAATTGAAGCTGCCATTGGTCCAGAAGATCTTTCCTCAGCCGGCACCAGAGTCTGTAGACCGTGGAGGTCAAAGCATCACGATGAGGCTTTGGATCATCTGAGTGGGCAGAGTCCCATGGAGCTCATAGTAGCGCAGGATCTGTTCCGTCCTCAACAGTTGGCATCAGGGCCTGCAGCTCTGTCGGACCTGTGCCAGTTGCACGGGGTCCCGGGTGTCGCGAATCTGCCGAGCTTACCCCGGTCTTCTTGTCTTTGGAGCATACGCTGTTGCACTTCCAGTTGTCTTTACCGCTGCCAGTTAGTTCTGAGGCTTTGAGACATCTGAAGAGTCCTCGTAGCCCTTTTCCTTCACCTTGCTGAAGCCACTGTTGGTATTGGAGGGCTGCTTCATCCGGGCCTGGATGTGTGCCTCTGCCTGTTGATGCTGGATGGTATGGACAGGAGCTCTGCCGATCGTGCATCTCTGTACTGTTTCCAATGGTACAGGATGTCCATGAATGTATGGGCTGTGGGTGGTCCAACCCATTGTTTCGGTGCATCTTGCGCTGCTGTAAGAAAGCCATTGACCGGCTTGTGGTGACCTTTAGGTGCTTGTATTGCCAGTTGAAGTCTTGCTTTGAGTTGCTCCCAGTAGGCAGGTCTGCCTCGGCGCCAAAGCGGCCCTGCAGGTGGCCTTGCCAGTGGCTTGTGGGTGGCTTGTACCCAGTAACCCCTCCCTTGAGGTTGCCACGGATGCTCCTGGAGGAGGTATTGCTCAGTGATGGAAACCCAGTCAGCTAAGGATTGGGCTTCTGTGTTTGGTTCAGCATCGTACAGTTGCAGGGCAGTAGCCTGAGACGTGTAGGTGCTCCATGGGCGGAAGCCTCCGTGGTAACGGAGGAAAGGGGCATGGCTGTCTGTAAACGCGCATGGAGGAGTCCTGTTCAGGGCTGATGGAAGCTGAGGTGCCCCCAATCACTGATAAGCGCTGCTGACTGCCATGTTCCCTTGGAGCCGGTGGCTGTGAATTGATAAAATTGGCATTTGAGTTCATGTAGCTCAAATGTTGTGATTCATCGTGTTGCTCATCCCCTGCAACACTGGTCCCAATTGGAAAAAGTTTTGACGTGAGTCCTGTGAGTTGCTTCTCCCCTGCAACGCGGTGGAAATCAAAACGTGCCCGCTGCTGTGAGCCTTCATGAAGAATCAAAGTCATGTCCCCAGTCAAAATCGTCCCACGGGATCGGAATGTCAAGTCCCGTGAATGAGAGCTGTTGTGAGGCCGGGTTACCCACAGGATCCTGGTGGTGTCGCAGGTCCGAGGCCTTCCGTTTTCCTTCCCTTGGAAAGGTCGTCGTTGTTGTCGTTGGGTCTTTTGAGCAACCCATGCAATTGAGACTTCTGTTGAATCAGAAAGGGAGACCCCAAGATTGGCTACAAAGGTCTCCAAAGCGGCCGGAAGAGGATCGACCTCCATGCTGCGCTCAAGCTCAGGTGGTTGTGGATCTTTGTTCACTGCTTTCATGTTGTCCTCGGAAAGCATCTTAAGGGCTTGCTGCCCTTCATTGAGCTTCTGCTGTAACTCCTGCATCTCGTTGAGGAGAGTCTGGTATTTAGGTTTGGTCTGGTCCAGTTTCTGCTGAAGATGTGTCTTCTTCGTGGACAGGTTCTTGAGCTCAGTGGCTGTCCCTTCAACTTGATTGCAATGTCCTGCTCAGAAGCCGGGGTTGGTGCTGTCAAACGTGTGACTGCTTCTTGTACCTGGGTGGGCAAGGATGCCATATGCGTTTTAAGCGTCTCACGTAGGTCAGGTTCTGGTGGCTTCTGAGGTCCAATGCCGAGGTGCTGTAGTTTGTTGAGCGGTCTCATTCTTCCCAAGCCTGGTGGCGTGTCAATCCATGTTGCCGGCCAAGGAGGTGTGGTTTTGGTTGGTCGTCCCTGCCCTTTTCCTTTGCCTGTGCCCCCTGAGCTGGTTGTGACTCTTGGCCACCAGGTGCCACACTTGCGACGTCTTGTGTCCGGTCGTAGTCGATCTTGGCTGCAGGTCACATAGCTCCGGCACCAGGAGGTAGGTGGGCAGGAAGTGGGCACAGATCAGGGCACGGTCCACGGACTGGCCGAAGGCAAAGGCAGACAAAAAGTTCCAGTCTGGGTCAGGATTTCCCGCAAGTTGAGGTGACGGGGAGATAGTTCTCCAAGTAGAGATGCCAAAGTTCTTGTCCCTCACTATTGCGGGCAAAGTGAAGTCCTGTAGGAGTGGATGTGCCTGGGCCGTTGGAGACGTCAAACTCCCTGCACCTGTAGCGCAAGAGGAGTTACGCACCAGCCCGATTTCAGGGGCCACGGGCTTGAGCAGCTTGTGGCTTGAGCCATGTATGTGTATGTACATATGCGTGTATGTATGTATGTATTGTTCTGTTTTTTATGTTTTGTTTTGTAGTGTAATGTATGTATGTATGTATGTATGTATGTATGCAAGGATGTACGCATGTATGTATGTGTGTGTATATGTGCGTGTGTTTGTGTGTGTTTGTCTGTCTATTTGTATGTATGTATGTGTGTACGGTTGTATTGTATTGATTTATGTTGATGTACGTAGGTAGGTATGTATGTATGTATGTATGTATGTATGTATGTAATGTATGTAATGTAATGTATGCATGCATGTATGTATGTATTGTTCTGTTTTGTTATGTTTTGTTTTGTTTTGTAGTGTAATGTATGTATGTATGTATGTATGTATGTATGTATGTATATATGTATGTATGTATGTATGTGTGTTTGTATGAACTTCTGTATGTATGTAATGTAATGCAATGTTATGTAATGTTATGTGTTGTTTTGTTTTGTAGTGTTATGTAGTGCTATGTAATGGTATGTAATGTCTTGTATTGTTATGTAATGTTATGAAATGTTTGTATGTATTGTAATGTAACGCAACGCAATGCAATGCAATGTAAGGTAAGGTAAGGTAATGTATGTGTGTATGTATTGTATGTGTGTCCGTGTGTGTGTGTGCGTGTGTGTGTTGTACGGGGTGGGAGGGGGGAATTGGACCGAAGGACGGCAAAGTGCGGGGGAAAGGCGGGGAAGTGAGCTAATGTTGCCTGGTGAGCTAATGGTTGATGGATTGTGCTGCCAGGGGCCTGACTTTCGTTCCCTCCGTTCTCAGGTTTGGTCAACATGAAGTCAACTGCACAAATAAGACTGGTATGTTCAACACATTTATGTGCAGTCTAACCAGGGCACTTTTTGGCATTGTCACTCTTGATTCTGGTGGTAGGTCAAGAGATTTTTTCAGTATCAAACCCAACGCGGTAGATGTTGCGCAATTGGCAGAGGGGTTTACTTTGGAGTTTACTTAACAACGACAGTCGTATTTTTACCAGCAGAGTTTTGCGATGCCAACAAATTTCAGGTCAAATGGCCGAGTCTATTTGCTGGATAACTTTGCCAGCTTCCATGCCCGTGACCTGAACCAGAAAGCACTCTCTTTGGCAGATGATGCCTGCGCAGCAGCTTTGGAGGTCAGGGTTGCTTTGGTGCCATTCTGCAGGATTTGTTGCATGCCGTCACAACACAGCAATCGGCGCATATTGAGTTTTAAAATTTCATTTGTTTGACCTGCGGCACGCAGGTGCAGCAACTTTATGAGAGTATGCGGACGAGCGCCTTTGCGCTCAAGGGGTGGCCTTCGCATGGCTTGTAATGTGATGTAATTAGTGTGCGCGACGCTTATGCCAACAAACATGGCGTTTCTCGGAGAACAAAGGCTAATTTGTATATAATTAGCCGGGCCATAGTTCTGGAGATTGTCATGGAAAGCAGTGAAGATGACACTATCAAACTACTTCAACGGAATATATATTTAAGTTTAAGTTTAAGCAACGCTGGCAACAGATCATGGCAGATAGCGGACAGATTCCTTAATTAAAGCATAGAAAGAAAACCAATAATAAGGGCGAACGCTCGAGACAATACAGCCCAAGCGTACAGTCTCCTGTTTTTCCATCAAGGTATTTTCCTGGAGGCTACAGATGCTTTAGGAGAAGCCGGACTTTCTGGCGACCTTCTAAGTTTCTCGGCTGAAGGCGGGCCTGAAGCTACTAATTATGTTTTGAGCGGCTCAAGGGTCTTCGCATTGAGCGGCTGGCGCATGAATGTTGGCTCCAAAATGGGTGCCGCGCGACAGTGTACATTTAGATCGTGCCTGATGCACCAAGTGATGTTTTTGCAAACTTGCCAACACAAAGAATAGGCTAACGCTCGGGTCCCACTGACCCTGTTAGTGGGCTAGACAATAAAGACAGACAAAAGCAGGATTTAATAACAACTCCATGCAGGCAAATTGTCTATACTGTATACTGTATAATATTGCAGGCTTTGGTGATTTGTTCCCAACAATTCACATACTTTCGGAAGAACCCCATCTAGTTCTGTGTGCAAAAGCGGCCGGAAAGTGCCAGCGGGCATGGCTTCGAAACTCAGTAAACACGGTTTGCATGTCCATGGCAAGAGGCAGGAAGGCGCCTCTCCGCCACTGTCTTCGCTAATGTCGACGTCGGATTAATCAACGGGCCCCCCTCCCCCCCCCTAGAAGGTCAACAAGGTCAACAAGGTCTGAGATTGGAGGTTTTGGAGATCACATCACCCTAATAGTGGGGATGACCTGATGATGACAGGACGAGGAGATGAGATGGGATGGAATGATGAGATCCATGAGAGCCCAAATACTAATTCCCATGAGATCCATGAGATCCAGGAGATGAGATGGGATGGCATGGGAAAAGAGTGGATCAGAAGATCAGTTTCACCATGGACCAAAAGATATTGAAAAGGCAAAAAGAACAAAACTAATTAAACGCATATATATTTGAATAATTATATTTTTCCTGGGGGGACAGGGGGTAGACTAATAGGGGGGGGTTCAGGCAAGCAAAATTTTTATTAGAGGGTGGTGACTGTGGAAATTAGTAGTTCAAATTAGTTTATTATTGGGGCCTGAACGCTGGGTAGACTAATAGGGGGGGTTGGTTAATCCTAGGATTGCATTATCTAGCTGTGTGCGCAAAAGCGGCACAATAGGGGCAGGCGGCAACTTCGAAACCCAGTAAAGTGCAAGCTCGTGGAACGAGGAGTAGAGATGCCTCTCCGCCACAGCCTTAGCCCATCGACTTTTGCTGCAAAGGTGGCTGGAGGTCTTGCCAGACAGCAGCCTCAAAAAAGCCGCAGGGTGGGCTCCGCCCGGCTTAGGCCAGGTTAAGCCGTGGTCGGCAGACTGGCTCACAGTTGGATTTTGGTAGAGAGTTGCCGTGCCAGGAGGTGATGAACCACCGGTATATGAGTTGCGGACATACCAGCTGAAGCTTGGATACACAACAGCTCCCTCGATGAACACTCAGCTTTGCTTGTTGGCTCCAAGTCAGGCCTAGATTCGGGTGTGTATAGTATATATAAAGTTGTGTTCCATGTTTGGGGTAGTGTGCTGTATCTTTGCTGCAGGCACACTGTGTGCTCAGCCTGAAAAATGATCTCCCCTTCCTGTGTGAGGTTCCAACATTTGTTGAAAAATACACCAACGGCCTCAAAGAGAAGCTGGCCGCGGACCAAACCGGCCAATCCCATCTTGTCACTTGCTGAAATAGACTTTGAATGGTTTGTATTGTGACTCGCTTTGGATTTCATTGAGGTGTTTTGTGTGTGTATATATCCTTGTGAGGGTGTTCAAAGGCATACAGGCCTGGCACCCTGGAAACACGCCAGTGAACTGAGAATAGGTAGGTTGGAGTCGCGTGACTGGAGGTCAAGAAACCAAGACATCCAAGAACAATCTAGAACTAGTTGCACCGTTGCAAGCATACTTGGATCAGACCATCGGCGAAACCAACTCAGGTGAGTCTTATGTACAGCGAGGCAGGTGCAGCTCCACTCAACACTGTGCATGAGCTTGGGCGCCACACCTCCATCCAGGAGCGGGGAATCATTTAGCTATGTGACCTATCATCGAAGGACGTGTTGAGTTCTTCTTTGTGGATAAAGACAGAAACCACTGTAGTATATAATTACAAACACCACTTCCATGTGTGTGTAACCCTTGGCGTCACAGGGATCCTGATGGATTTGTTTTGTTTTGTATTTTTTCAGCAGGGGAGTGCGGCGTGATTGTAGGACCGCACTCAACGAAGCTACCACAATCACGGGATACCGAGTCTGATCAACTCGGCGTACCTGCTTTTTTAAAAAAACTAGACTTTGGTGACCTTGGTGTGTTTGTGTATTGAATTTATGTCTTGTGAACTAGTAGCGGCGGCCTCAAACCTGGCGTGATGGCCTCCAACGCGCTAGAGATGACCTCCAACCTTGTTTTTGGGCTTGTGTCTTGTAAACTCGTAGCGTGGGCCTCCAACCGGGTGCTATGGCCTCTAAATCCATTAGCGATGACCTCCAACCTCACTGCTTCCTGTCACTTTTGTTTTGCTTGTGTGTACAACCTACTAGCGATGGCCTCCAAACTTGGGCGATGGCCTCCAACCTAAAAGCGATGGCCTCCAACCTACTACCTGTTCTGGTATCTTAGGTTTTTCACTTAAGCTGGCGTGTGGCAACCGCTTTCATGTCAGTACACATTTCTATAAGTGTGTCTCTCCTCGTGAGCGTTAGGGTGACCCCGCAGAGTGGCCCCTGTGGACCCTTTGAACGGGGGTTTGTCGAACATATCCCCTGACGCTTGCTCTACCTGGGAACACCTGTCCCTCCCTCCTCTTTCTCCTCCTCTTTCTTTTCCCTGTCTCTTTCTCTTTCTCTCTTTCTCTCTCTCTCTCTCTCTCTCTCTCTCTCTCTCTCTCTCTCGCTCTCTCTCTCTCTCTCTCACTCTTTCCCTTTTTTGCTTGGGTGTCCCTGGATGCTTTCCTCATAGCCGGGAACCCTTCTCTTCTTCTCTTGGTGTGTCCTTGGACGCTTGTGTCGTAGCTGGGAACATGTTCTTTTCCTTTCCTTTCTTCTTTTTCTTTCTTTTTTTCTTTCCCTACCTCTCCCTCCCCCGCGCGCGATGCGTTCACATACAAAAGAGGCGTTGCAACAGGTTTTCAATGAGCTTTGGCTTCATCGGTTCTCGTCCCCTCCACTTGTATCCCTTCTCACCCTTCCCCTTCACACACATTTGTTCTCCTCTTTTATTTCATGTCCTCCTGTCTTCATGTCTTGGCATTTCATTCCTTCCTTCTTTAGCGCACATCGGTCCCGGCCTCAGTGTGTACGCGCACATATTCTCGTACTTTTAAACCCAGCGCCCAGGTTTGACAATGAGGTCGGGTTCGTCGGTTGTCCCTGTGCACTTGGTTCCCTTTCATCGCAACCACACACACTTTTGTCCTGTTTTGTCCTCTCTTCATGTCTGCATCTTTTAGTCTTTGCTGCGCGCACACGTGCGCATTTGTCCTAACCTTAGTTTTTCTCGCCTCCCCTCGGGGAGGCGTGCGTGTGTGTAAGCCTTGGCGTCACAGGGATCCTGATGGATTTGTTTTGTTTTGTATTTTTCAGCAGGGGAGTGCGGCGTGATTGTAGGACCGCACTCAACGAAGCTACCACAATCACGGGATACCGAGTCTGATCAACACGGCGTACCCGTTTTTTTTAAAACTAGACTTTGGTGACCTTGGTGTGTTTGTGTTTTGAATTTATGTCTTGTGAACTAGTAGCGGCGGCCTCAAACCTGGCGTGATGGCCTCCAACGCGCTAGAGATGACCTCCAACCTTGTTTTTGGGTTTGTGTCTTGTAAGCTCGTAGCGTGGGCCTCCAACCGGGTGCTATGGCCTCCAAATCCATTAGCGATGACCTCCAACCTCGCTGCTTGCTGTCACTTTTGTTTTGCTTGTGTGTACAACCTACTAGCGATGGCCTCCAAACTTGGGCGATGGCCTCCAACCTAAAAGCGATGGCCTCCAATACCTAAAAGCGATGGCCTCCAACCTACTACCTGTTCTCCTGGTATCTTAGGTTTTTCACTTAAGTTGGCGTGTGGCAACCGCTTTCAAATCAGTATGCATTTCTATAGGTGTGTGTGATTTATCCTTTTGATTATTGATAATCGTCAGTTTATGTTTGGGATGTATTTATGGTGGAAAGCGGATTTTGCAGGCGGCATTGTTGATCATGTTCATGGACCTGTAACCTGTACATCAAAATCATGCCTTCTACACGGTCTGGATAAACTGAAACAGCGGAACGGTTTGATGTTGAAGTCTCAGCAAAAAAATGAGTCATTCAAAATCGAAGGCAGTTGCAAGGAGGATGTTTGATCATTTTTAAAAGTGTTCAGTCGTGATCAATACTGTTGCTGGAAGTGTCAGTATGTATATAAAAATGAATACACATAAAGAGTACTATGAATAATATGTTGCTGTCCAGGGCAGCCAAGACTCACGGCAAGCCTCTCGTCGGGCAAGTGGCTGGAAGCAGGCGCGGATGAACATAATCACCTCAATGTTTGTTCTTTAGTTGTCATTGGCCATCGGATAAAAAGGAACGTACATAACAAGAAGAAGATAAAGGCACCTTAATTGTTAAAGGTGCCCTTTACTTTGTTGACAGAATTTATCAGGTCCAGATTCAGGCAGAATCCCTGGAATCTTGTGAGGCCATTGCTGAGATTGCTGAGCTGGCCATCACTTTTCACTCCCAATATTTGCGACCAGTTCCTGGAGTTGGCCAGTTGCAGTAAACGTCAGAGCAACACCGCTCCCTCAACCTCAATGCGAAGCAGGCATTAAAAAGCGCATCATCAAGGACAATTGAGTTTCGTGTGCTGACGGATGTTAGCATTGCTTACGATTCATTCGGGTAGTGTAATATGTCCTTGTTGTTGTCATCGTACGGCATGACGGCACAACACAGTGCTTCAGCTACAGTGTTTCAGCTACACAATGACTGTAATCATGTATACTGTATATATTCCCATTGAACCATGGCAGGCATTTGCATTGGCGAGTGGACTGTGTGGCCGTTTGTGAGTTGAATTTGTGCGTTGACAACACTTTAGTTCAGACAGCTTGCATCGACAATACAGGGTTTGATTGGTCACAACTTGTTGCAGGTGTAGTTTTGGCCAAGTGGGTGACACTTGGTCAGGCCTCAAGCCGAAAAGATTTGCTTTGGTTTTCTTGTGCACTTTATGCTTCATGTTGATTCAAGGCTGTTGCACAGTACATCACTCCCTCAATTACACATATGCAGCAACTGTTGGTTTCTTCCATTCTTCTCCATTGAGGATCAGGGATTGGACAGTGATGAATATGAACCTACGCAATTCTTGAAAAATGTCAGCTTTAAGTGTCCCTAAAAATCTAGGAGCCACACGAATAGTGCGAGCGCTTCTTCAAGGAAGCGTAAGCTATCCTGCGTCTAGTAGCTAGCTACTTGAGCTACTAGCTATCTCTCTTCTACTCTTCTACTAGCTACACCTCTTCCTCCCCCCCCTTTGAAAAGATAATCTGTCCATCGTCGCTAGTTGCCAGCCCTTCGTCGCCACGGCGCCTGACATTGACACTGCCCGGAGCACCAGCTAGCAGACATGATGTTCAGCCCAGAAATCCTGGGTTTGTTTTGACGAGTGTGGTTTCTGCGCTGGTCGGGGTAGCATCATGATCTATAGTAGAACCGGACTATGACATATGATGAGGACGATTGAGCACGCAACAGGATCAAGAAATCAAGGGTGACGGAAAAGTAACAGAACAATCCAAGGCTGGTCAAGAATCGGCTCATATGCACAATGCCGTCCTTCTCTTAGCTTCGGTGTTTTCAGTCCACGCTGTGCACCACCAGAGGCTCAATAGGGTTCGAGAGGTTGAGGTTTAGACAAACGGCCGGGTGTAGGTGTGACTATTTGTCACGATGAAGGAGACAGGTAAATAGACATAGACTTAGCGTTGTGTCCGACAAGAAGAAGGAATCTGCAAGGCGTCCATGCTTGCAGAGTTTCAGTCTTCCGCATGCCCGATGGCTCTTTGTTCTTTGTTCTGCAAGGCCACTGCAGTTACCACAGAGCTGCTTGACCTGAACATTACAGTGTGTCTCTAGGGGTGTAAGGGAAAAACTAAGAGATGACCGCGCTTTTTTGTAGAAGTGTAGATGATTCGAGAGCCGTTTTTAGCAGGAGCTTGCTCAGTTGCTGTGAGTCAAAGTGGTGACAAGCAAGGAAACGCATATATAGACGAGCTCTTTTATGCAGCGCGTACAGCAAACGTCACACTTAATGAGCTTGACAATCAATATTTGGAGGGCTGGTTTGATTGTTCCGCTGTCAATCGGCGCAGTAAATGTATTTGCACGATTGTACACCTGTACATACCATATTGACCTCTATGTTTGGCTCAAGAAAAGGGCGCTCTACATGTTGGTACTTGTAGGCTGTTGGCCTGTAAATTCAGGTTATCAGCCGTATCGCCAAAGAGCGGTACGCGCCATTGTAGCTGTGTCACCTACCCACCCTCGTTCTGCGCACACGTGAGGTGGCATGGCTGATAGGCCCATCGAACCAATTCGAGATGGCACGGATCGATCGAGGTCGAGAGTCGGTGATGCCGATGAGAATGGGTCATATGTGCAGACGGAAGTCTTCACTTCAGAGCCTGGTGATGACGCATTGGTTGAAGCACGTGGGAACGCGTTGCCACCAGTCGTTCCGACCGGTGCTATAGCCTTATCTCCCACCAGTCCTGCCTTTGTTCCGTCAAGTACATACAACGATTCAAGACAAGTCATTCATCAGACGGCGAACTTCCACGATCAGAGAATGATCAACGTCAACCTGGACAAATCCGCTGAGGTCGCTCAAATTGCAGAAGTGCGACACAGGGAACTGATGTCCAAGAAAGATGAAGAGGTGAAAAAGACTGTGGAAGCCATTCACCGCGAGGCACAAGACCATGTCAAGGAGCAACTCGAGTTACAAGAACGAAGGGCTGCATCTTGGGCTGCAAATGAACAGGCTAAGATGAATTGCGCAAGAAGCAGTCATTAAAAACGCTGCTTTGACTGAAGCTCAATTATATAATCACAATTTGACAGAATTACAACAACAAGCACAGAGTCGTGAATCGCAATTGAGAGAGGAGTTGAGAACACAGACAGAGCTCATTCGAGAACTTCGAGAGAAGATGGAAACATCCGCTCGAGGGAACTTTGAGCCTGCTGGAATGCCAGCGAACGTCAGGACGACTCTTCCCGGCCCCATGGGAACAAACGAGCTGCCTCTAGGTCAATTGTATCATCCGACGCAGAGATCAATGACTGACAGCTCGGGCGAACCCTATCGTGATGCTATTGCGAGTGGAGCGGCCAATGTTCCGAAGGCAGCTGGAGGTGGTCCTCCTGATCATCCCAGTCCATCAAGTTCGTCTTCATCCGATGACAAGAAGAAGAGCAAGAAAGACAAGAAGAAAAAGAAGAAGAACGATAAGGAAGAGAAGCGTGGAAGATCACCCCGCAAAAAGAAAAAATAAAAACAAAAAGGGGTTGCCCTCACCATCCGAGTCACCTTCATCGTCGAGCTCATCTTCTGAGGATTCGTCCTTTGCCCGGAAGGTTAGGAAACACTTGAAGAAGATGAAGAAAGAGGATCGTGAACAGAGGGCTAAAGAAGCCGAGAAGATCCTCATACCGAAATTTCCTACGCCTGAAAGGTATAGGGACTGGCGAATTAAGGTTCGGGACAACGTGTCGGCAGCGTCCGCTAAGCCGGACAAGGCTAGGTTGTGGCTAGGTAAGGTCTATGAAGACGCTGTGACCACTAAGGACTTGGATGACTCCGAGGGATTCATTACGCTGGACGCTAAACTTCTTTCAAGTCTCACGAACTGTGCGGAGGGGGACCTTGCTCGCCAATTGAACACGTTTAAGGAAACCAAAGAGAAGGCGAAGGAACCAATAAAGGGACGACAAATTCTCTTGTTGTTTCATGAGTACTTCGCTACATCCATTAAACACGGTGCTATTTACGATGTTGAAGATCTTATCTGTGTTAAGATGGTGAACGAGGACCTCAAAGGTTTTGTCACTCGATGGGAGTCTGTCATAGCGGGCATGCGAACGGAAGTTGACAAGAAGTGGCTTGAGGTATATTTTCATCTTGCTGTCAAGAACTTTAAGCCTTTAGCTCATGACCTTGCCATCTACGAACGCGCCTCGGAAGGGAGTGCCGAAAAGACTTATGACTTTTTGATTAAGTCAGCCAAGGCGTACCTTGAAAGGAAGCGTTTGGAAAAGATGAGGGACGCCACAAAGCGTAGTCTCGGAGGTAAAGACCCTGCAGCTCCTGTCATTGACCCGAATGACAAAAAGCCAAAAGGCGTTTGTTATGAGTTTCAGAACAAAGGGAAGCGCAGTAGGCGCGACTGCCCATTCAAGCATGAGAAACCCCGTGAATCCAGCAAAGGGAGGCCCAAAGGTGGTGGAAAGGGTAGATCTTCTTCTCGTGGAAGATCGTTGACTCCGGGTTCAAGGTCAGAGGTTTGCAAGTTTTGGAAATCCGGTGACTGTCACCGGGGAAAGAATTGTGCTTTCAAACACCCTGATCGTTCTTCTACTCCTGCCCCGAGTGACGACAGAAAGAAACGAAAGAAGAAGAAGAAGAAGGAGAAAAGAGAGAAGAAGAAAAGAAGTATACTCCTCGTGGCTCCAACGGTTCTGGCGGTAGCCAGAAATCCAAAGGTGGGAAAGGTGCTCCTTCTAACCCAGCTGCCGTTTGTCTTCTGCGCACTCTGGTCTTAGCGACTGCGGTCTCATCATCGCAGCCTGCTTCTATCAGTTGCCCGTTGGAAAACGTGGCCATGGTTGCTACACCTGCCGCCAGTACTTCCCCATCATCTTCAGGACGGGAGAAGATGAAATGCCTTTCTTCTGTTGACAAACCAGAAGTTTTTAAACACGTGGTTCATGATAAGTCTTTAATGTTTCCAGTTGCTGCGCGAACACAAAGCAAGCATGTCAGATTTCCCATAGGCCATAAAGGAAACGCTGAAGTTTTGGAAATGGCGTCTGAAGATGCATGCATTGCAGCAGAACGTTTGAGCAGAGCTGTTTCAAACGAGTTGAACGGCGTCGAGGCACGTTGTCGATATCTTTGCGATTCGGAAATGGGATGCAAGCATTGTTTCAAGAGCCAACAGGTTACCGTGCCTGCAACCGAGATCGCATGGATTGCAGATACTGGCAGTGCGAATGACTTGGTGTCTAGGGAAATGGTCAATCGTAATGAAGTGTTTGAATCCTCTAAACCGGTTAGTCTTTTAACAGCTAACGGGGTATTCCAGGCTAATGATCAGGCTAATCTTGACATTCCCTTGTTGGGGATCACTGCAAAACCCTATGTTCTTGATGATAGTCCGGCAGTGATATCCGTGGGGCAATTATGCATTGATCACGATTGGTCGTTCATCTGGCCAGCAAGTGATACACCATACTTCAAAAAGCCAAATGGGCAGAGAATCAAACTTCAAGTGAAAGACTATGTTCCTTACTTACCGTCAACCAGTGGTATGGCCATGACTGCTATCGGACACAAGTATGAAAAACATGCTTCCGGGAACGGCAAGTCTTCGTACATACCGATCCCCACGTCACCCAGTGTAGAGGAGGTACCCCATGAGTCTGCTGAAGCAGAACCCGAAGCAGTCGATGCCTTGTTAATCCCCGATCCACCAGCGGAAAAGCGTGATCGTGGAGAACAAGCCTTAAGGCAGGAAGCAAAGTCGCTTGCACACTTGTTGACGCATGTTCCAAAGAACCCCTTTTGTACGACATGTTCAAGGGCTAAGATGACTAAGCCGCCATCGTACAAGAAGGGAGGTTCCGAAACTGTTGATGCTGACAAGTTTGGTGATCACATCACTGCTGATCATCTTATTCTTAGGGATGATGAAGAAGAGGCTATCGATGGTTCGAGAAACGCTTTAGTCGTTAAGGACATAGCTACGGATTTTAGATATGTATATCCGTCAGCTAGGAAAACGACTAGAGATTGCGTTCTCGCGTTGAAGCACTTCACCCGGAGACGGGATGACATTGGTGTGTTCTATTCTGATAACGCAGAAGAACTTGTGAAAGCTGCGTCAGA